ATGATCGATTGCGAGCGCCAGTTAGTGAGGGTTCGAACCCCAAGTGGGGGAGAACTAGTTATACATGGTGAGAGAGCCTCGTAGGGTCCAATCCTCTGTTCGGCTGCGAGAGATTAGAGATTTTTGTAGCAGGGATGTATGGGATTTCTGGCTTATATCTCGGATACGAGGGTTGAGACCACGACAGATGTGGGCAGTGTGCCGGTGGTAGAGGAATTTCGGGACGTCTTTCCCGAAGAGTTACCAGGGGTGCCTTCGGAGAGGCAGGTGGAGTTTCGCATTTATTTGGTGTCGGGTGCCGCTCCGATAGCAAAGGCACCGTACCGTCTAGCACCGCTCGAGATGCAGGAGCTATCTATGCAGCTCCAGGAGCTGCTGGATCGAGGGTTTATCCGTCCGAGCAGTTCCCCATGGGGAGCTCCAATCCTGTTCGTGAAAAAGAAGGATGGATCACACAGGATGTCCATTGATTATCGAGAGCTGAACAAACTGACGGTGAAGTACCGTTATCCATTACCGAGGATAGATGATTTGTTCGATCAGTTGTAGGGTGCGTCTTGGTTTTCCAAGATTGATCTTTGGTCGGGATACCATCAGATGAGGATTCGAGATGAGGACATACCGAAGACAACTTTTAGGACTCGGTATGGGCATTATGAGTTTGTGGTGATGCCATTTGGCCTCACCAATGCCCCAACAGCATTCATGGATCTCATGAACAGGATGTGTAGACCGATGCTGGATCGGTCAGTGATCGTTTTTATTGATGATATCCTGGTCTATTCTAAGACCAAGGAGCAGCATGAGCAGCATCTAAGAGAGGTATTGGAGACATTGATGGCGGGGTGGCCGTATGCCAAGTTCTCCAAGTGTGATTTCTGGATGCGAGAGGTACAGTTTTTGGGGCATATCATCAACCAGGAGGGCATTTCGGTTGATCCGGCCAAGGTTGAGGCAGTGATGCGGTGGGAAGTACCGAAGAATGCTTCCGAGATCCGTAGCTTCTTGGGTTGAACGGGCTATTATCAGAGATTTATCCAGGATTTCTCCAAGATTGTTGTGTCATTGACCCGCTTGACCAAGAAGAATGTGACATTTCGGTGGGGCACGGATCAACAGTCGGCTTTTGAGACCCTGAGACGGAGGTTATGTGAGGCTCTGATTCTAGTACTACTGGAGGGGTTATATGATTTGGTGGTGTACTGTGATGCATCGATCTCAGGGTTAGGCGTGTACTGATGCAGAGGGGGCACGTGATAGCTTACGCCTCGAGGCAGTTGAAGCCTCATGAGGCGAATTACCCCACTCACGACCTGAAATTGGGGGCAATGGTGTTTTCCCTCAAGATTTGGAGGCACTGCTTGTATGGAGTAAGGTGCACCATCTATATTGATCACAAGAGTTTGAAGTATTTGATGGATCAGCAGAACCTCAACATGCAGCAGAGGAGGTGGTTGGACATGCTGAAGGACTATGATTGTGAGATCCTATACCATCTCGGGAAGGCCAACATGGTAGCCGATGCTTTGAGCCGCAAGGCGGCAGGTTCCCCAATTGGGAACGTTTGTTTGAGGATGACCGTGATCTCTCCATTGTTGGATATGATCAAGGAAGCTCAGGTCGAGGGGTGAAGAAGGAGAATTGGAAGATAGAGCGGATTCGGGGGCAGTATCCTTTGTTTGTTAAGGATAGTCGTGGCCTTCTGACACAGTGTGGCTGAGTATGTGTACCGGTGACTGGAGGAGTGAGGAAGAAGATATTGGAGGAGGCGCACAAGTCCAAGTTCTCTATACATCCAGGGGCTACAAAAATGTATAGAGATTTGAGACTGAGTTACTGGTGGCCCTGCATGAAGCGGGAGATCACCTAGTTTGTGGAGCGGTGCTTGACCTGCAGGAAGGTCAAGGCCGAGCATCAGCGGCCTCATGGCAAGGTTCAGCCACTACCCATTCCTATGTGGAAGTGGGAAGAGATCACTATGGACTTTATTACGAAGTTACCGAGGACGAAGAGGGGTGTGGAGGCCATATGGGTGATCGTAGACAGACTGACGAAAAGTGCCCACTTTATTCCGATCTCTGAGAGTATATCCGCTGAGAAGTTGGCGAATATTTATGTGCGAGAGGTGGTGGCTAGACACGGGCTGCCAGTGTCGGTAGTCTCTGACAGGGATGTTCGGTTTACATCTAGGTTCTGGAAGAAGTTCCACGAGGAACTGGGCACTCAGCTGCATTTTAGTACGACGTACCACCCCCAGACAGATGGCCAGCACGAAAGGATGATCCAGACACTGGAGGATATGTTGCGAGCATGTGTGTTGGATTTTGGAGGGAGTTGGGATACGTACCTTCCACTGGCAGAGTTTTTGTACAATAACAGTTACCATGCCAATATCGACCGACCTCCATTTGAGATGTTGTATGGTAGGAGACATTGGTCATGGGGAGCATTGAGGTATTGCTCAAGACTACCGGGCTGATTCAGCAGGTGTGTGACCGGCTGCAGGTCGCGCAGAGCCGTCAGAAAAGTTATGCTGACCGGCGACGATCGGATCTTGAGTTCCAGGTGGGGAACTTTGTGCTACTGAAAGTGTCAACTGATGGGATTTTGTTTGGTTCACAAAAATGTTACTCATGGAATTTGAACTGAAATTGGAAAATGAATCTGTCAGGAATTTGAATCCAATTCCATATGTTGTTTGCTTGGTAGGAAATGAAATTGGAATTATTTCCCAATTTTGTTTGGTTCGCAGGAAATGACATTGAAATTCATATAAAATGACACAATTGTCTTTTTGTATGTTTTGCTTAATTTTACTTTGTTTTCTAAGTTATATGTAAACATATATTATATAAATTATTAAAATAGAAATGGAATTAGAATTAATTCTAGATTTTATTTTGCTTATAATTTCTAATTTGACTTGTCATACCTATATAAACATAATAAAACCAATAGATAAATATCAAAACTAATTTTAGAAATGGAAAAATCTTCCAACAAAACAATAAGCAAACAACAATTTTTCCAACAAAAAAATAAGCAAGCAACGTTTTTTCCAACATAACGATAAGCAAGCAAAAATTGTCCAACATAACGATAAGCAAACAATACAACAATTTGTCCAACATAGCGATACATTATAAATAGATAAACAAAATGCCAATTTAATTGGTTGCGCCCCTAGATGCAAACATAGACTCGGCTAAATTATCTCTAAATACGGTCCATTCATTTTAAGTCCATATAGAACTAATAGTATTAAAATCTTCAGGTCCAAGATCTCCAGTTCCATCGTCTCGATCACAATCATTGTCAAAAGGATCTACTTCCATTTCTTGTAAAAAGGATCTACGATTGTATGTTGTTAAACAAGGTCAGGAGATTTTTCTATTCATACAAATTCATATCATATTGAGAGTTTAATGTAATTTCCAGCAAGTAAATCTAAAACAACACAATTATTTTAAACAGATGCTGCTGTGAAAAAAAAAGATGAACAAGAACAGGAAGCATTTGTTGTTGTTCTGAACAAACAAGAAAAGAAGCCGAACGTAAACAACACAATCGATTCATTTTTTTTTTGAAATAGATCACAATCGATTCATATCACAATGATTAACATAAATTCGATTTTAACAAGCATATATTTTGAACAAGCATAGATTAAGATCGACAACAACAACGATTTTAACAAACATCCGATTAATAAAAACTGATAAAAGGATGATAAATCAATTTTCAGGAAGATAAAATGCATATATTGCGATCAACAACAACAACGATTTTATCAAAATATCGATTTTCACAATAAATTAAGAGCGGGAGAAAGAGCGAGAGTGAGAGATAACGAGATTGAGATCGACATCAACAATGATTCACTTACCTGACGGAAGAATCAGAGAAGATGAGGTTCTGTGGAAAAGCGAGGTTTGTCGGCTGTAATTCTATTTTGACGAAGAGGCTATATACGTGAGATAAGGTTTTGATGTTAGAATGGTTTCGTGGGTATAATGGTAATTTTTCACTTTCCTTGTTAGTAAGGAATTGATTCCATCCTTTTGTTGAAGGAAAGTATTTTCCCTCTTATGAATGAATGTTTTTTCATTTATGATTCATTTTCTCTCTTTAAAGTTGAACCAAACGCAGAAATTCAAGGTAATTGGAATCATTTTCCCTCGAATTCCATTCCATTCCTGCCAACCAAACATGACCTAAGGTTTAACATCAAAACAAACTAAAACATTAATGGGTACAATAATACCAAACACAAAAATCCATGAACCAAATAAGAGCAGCTTCATCTTCAAAACTTCAGCCTATATGAATCTTACCCTATATTGGAGTCTATTTATGGCTCTAAACAAACCTATAATCACCACCATTGCCATAGGGCACATTGAAGGGTCAACCCACCCAAGGAACCCACATCTCCCACCAAACCTTGAACAACTCCAAAATTGCCTACATGAGTCCAAGATATCACCTTCATTGCTTGACCTCCATAGCGGCAAATCACCATTTTTTGAGCTCGTCATAGGGGAAGCAACTTTTGTGAAGTAGAGAAAGAAGATGGGTTTGAAAAATGTAGACGTTGCAAAACATATAAAAAGGAAGGGGTTAAGTAAAATGATCAAATTGCCCTCACTTTCTTTGCACGAGAGGCCACTTAACAAATCCAATATGACAAATTGAGCCAAATGGACCATCTATAAATAGTTTTCAAACCACGAGGATATCCTTAAAGACAAAAAAAAGTTAGGGTCTAAACTTGATATTTCTGAAAATTACAGCGACCATTTATGAAGATTAGGCTTTTATATATAATAAATGTTAAATAAATATTAAAAAAATATAAAAAATAATCATAAAGGTAAAAATATCTTTTCAATTTTGGAATAAATCGAAAGGGATGAATTTCACAATGAAAATAGTTTGAAAAGGATTGTTTCCGTAATATTTTAAAAGTTTGAACCTCAATCGTAGAAAATGACAAACCACATGATCATATTTGCAGTTTTCGTCTAAATTCATTATAACCAAGGTCTCCAAGAACGATTATCTCCAAGTCCTGGCAGAAGTATTTCGTTTCCATGTCTGTTGAGATCAAACTCTCTCGATCGAATCGAACCTACCGTCCCCATGTAAGTTGCTAAACAAACTACACAACTCTACAAAATGTGCATTCAAGGGAGTTTAAATTGGTGTATTATGTATTCATCGCAGGAACCGCTTCAGGGAAAAATCATCACCAAATTTCCCTCATCAGTCTCTCACCGTGGAATCCACTTAACCGTCAATGGTTCTGTCAATTTGCAGGTTTCATTTCCTTATGCTTTTATTTGTTCATGGTGGATTTTAGATAGAAAGTTGTAAACTGTAGGAAAACCCTAATTTAACGATAATCCAATAGGTTTCACAAGTCATAGATAGGTGATTTATATATCTTTCACGAAGGTTTTGTGCTGGTTAGAGCAATTGTGATTGTTGGAGTGCGTTCATGATATACTCAGTTTTGGTGTTTAGGTTCGTGGTGGTTCTGCTGGACTCATTGAATCACTTTACGGTGTTCTGAAGCCTATTCGAATACTGTATCTCTCTCTCTCTCTCTCTCTCTCTCTCTCTCTCTACCATTGTTTACTAGTTGGTTCTGATCAAAGCGTGGGTAATGGAAAAGAGAATTCAAATAATACTTTAAAATAAATCCTAACATGGTCAAGTAAAACAAATATCTATGGATTGAAATCATGATATCCCTTAACTTTTAAGTTTCTACTACCTTCCTTGTTTAATATGTTATAAGGATGAGTGATGTTTCATTAACATTTTGACCTTAGCTCATATAAATTTGTTAATTTTTGCAATGCTGAAGGGGCCATATGTAGTGCAAGATAAAGATTGCATAAAGTGTCACTCGTTGTAGAATTATTTGCACTTGTTATTAAGCCATTTTTAACGTGTTTATTTAAAATTTCCTTATTTTTCTTTATGAAAAAAAAAGGAAGAAGAGCATTGAGGTTGAACCATGTGGGAAGATTAGTGCAGGCACAACACAGGTATTATGTCAGACAGTTAGACAAAGAGGTAGTTTTAGGTGTTGTTAAATTTTTAAAGACTGACCCATTATTTCCTTTGTGGGCGGGGAGGGGACAGATACCATTTTCTATTATTCTCAAACATAAAGAAGAGGATACCAAATTCTATGAAACTTTTCATGGAGCAAACATTAACATCCAGGTATGGTCTCTTCAAAGGTTGTTCTCCATTCCGCCCTTCAAGGCAATATTTATGATGCTATTAATCTATCTGTGATAGACAGTATCTGCTAACTGTAGATGTTGTGAGAGGATACCTACATAAATCATTGTCTGCTACAGTGGAGTTCATAATCGAAAGTGAATTAGGTATAAGTTTGCTCTTTAACTCTCTCTCTCTCTCTGTGTGAATATGACCAGTTCCATCAAATGTAATGTAATGAATTACATTTACATATACAGGCGGTCTCTCAGAGAAACCAGTCTCTCCTGAAATGGTCTTCTTTTATATCACTCAAGACACACAACGGCACTCTTTGCTTCATGAACTGAAATCAGGTTCCACTTAAAGTAAATTTTTTTTTTTTTTTAAATTATTATTTTTACAATTCACATGTTCACCTTGTAGGTGGTTTCAAGGTATCTGGTAGAATTTGCACTCAGTGCCTTGTAGGTGATCCTTTAGTGGGAGAGGTAACAGTTGAAGCATCTGCAGTCCCTATCTACTCCATTGACATCCACTTGCTTCGTGTCGAGTCGATTATGGTGGGGGAAAAGATAGCCACAGAAACATCTGTACTTCAGACTACTCAGGTAAATTAATCTTTCATGCTTTCACATTATTAACATTTAAATATCTTCACCTTTTCTTTATACTTTATAGATAGCAGATGGAGATGTTTGCCCAAGTATCTGTCTGCCTATTTATGTCATACTTCCCCGGCTTTTGACATGTCCAACCGTGTTTGCTGGGTAAGTTGATAGGAATAATTTTCATGTTGTCAGTTGTATACTACAAATATAGATAATATGATATAACTTTTATGCAGACCCTTTTCAGTGGAGTTTAAAGTTACCATCGTTGTTACATTTCAGACAGAATTGTACAATGTGCAGCCAAAATCTGATCCCCGAGCTTTTAGAAAATGGGTATATATATATCCTTCACTTAACTAGTTATTTTGTAATCTCTTTTAATAATTAAATTTTGATTTCAGGTTGCAATGGAAAGTCTTCCTCTGGAGTTGGTTCAATCTCAGTGATCTTTTGTGTTTGAATGTGTGTCTGAATTGTCTTATATATATATATATATATATATATATATATATATATATATATATATATATTTTCCCGAGGTGTGTATTTGATTCCACTACCTTTTTAACTGTCTTCTGGACAATAGCTTTTTAAAAACATAATGTTTATATTTTGGTTGTGCATTTTATTTGGTGATCGGGATTTTCACCTTTATTAACAAAGGTTTAGGAGAAACTGTAACCTTTAGGTAATGTAATGGCAAACCGTAAATGCTAGTGCTTTTTGTTTTAGTTTTAATTTTTAGAAAACAGTTGAATGAGCATTCATATACTTTGTTAGGAATCTTAGGTGGCGTTTGGCGCAAAATATTTATGAAAGAATTGAAATCTGTCTATGGAATTGGAATCCAATTTCATAGTCTGTTTGGTTGGCACAAAATGGAATTGGAATCCAATTCCATATTCTGTTTGTTTGGGTGGAAAGGGATTTGGAATGATGTAAAATGACATAATTGCCCTTCTTTTTTCTTTTTGCTTAAATTTACTTTTTATAGAAGCTACATGGTGATGGTGGGTGGTGGTGGTCGTGATGGTGGTGGTGGTTGTGGGTGGTGGCGGAGGTGTTGGTGGCGATTGTGGTGATGGTGGCGGTGGTGGTAGCGGAGATGGTGGTGGTGGGTAGAGGTGGAGGTGGTGGTGGCGGCGAGTAGTTGTGGTGGGTGGTGGCGGTGGTTGTGGGTGGTAGCAGTGATGACAATGGTGGGTGGTAGCGGCAGCGGTGGTGAAAGTTAGTGGCAGCGGTGGTTGTGGTAGGTGGTGGCAGTGGTGATGGTGGTATAGGGTAATATGGTAATCTTGCACTTTCTCTCATGTATTGGAATTAATTCCTTCCAATTTTGAAGGAATGAACTTTCCTCTGATTGATGGATTTTTTTATTTTTTATTATTATTTTTTTTTCATTTAGGAATCCAATTTCTTAGTAAAAGTTGAACCAAAAATAGGAAAAATGGTGGAATTGGAATCTGAGTCCACCCATTCCCTATGTTTGGTTCCATTTTTGCTAAGGAATTGGATTCCTAAATGAAAAAATACTTCCATTCCATGGGAGGAAAGTTGATTCAATCATAGGATGGAAGGAATTAATTTCAATTCATGAGGCAAATTGCAAGATTATCATATTACGCTACGCCACCATCATTGCCACCAACACCCATTACCGCCCTACCCACTGCCACCACCACAACCGCCTCCTACCATAACCATTGCCATCACCACCACCTACTCGGACTCGGAGGCCATTTGTGCTTTGGCTCTTTACATACACATTATGTTTCAACTCAGTGGAATTGGTATTACTTTATACGTTTTTTTGTATGAAACTAGTGGAGATTCAACCTTGTTTTGCGCCGGGTTTACTATCTTACAGGGACCAAATATGTAACTTCTAATGAGCATTTATAACTTTTTAAATTATTTTTTTATACTTAATTTGACTATTTTATATAGATGTAATTTGACAAAAATTAATAATTTTTAATGTGATAGTCTACAGACAAGTCAAAGGTTTTAAATAATGCTAGACGTGATTTGACGGCAATGTCAATCCTCAAGATTTTATGAGCTGTGACAAACCATGTCGTTTGTAAGACATGACTTATAGTGATAATTTTGTATATAATTAATAATTCTCTCTCTCTCTCTCTCTCTCTCTCTCTCTCTCTCTCTCTCTCTCTCTCTCTCTCTCTCTGTGTGTGTGTGTGTGTATATATATATATATATATACACACGTACGATTTAATATGATATTTTGTTAAAGCGTGACATAGAGTATAAGCTTTGGAGTCATGGGTTCATTATGAAGCCATAACTACATTTTTAGAACCTTGACAACGACCCACGACTTAACAAAGGTTTAAAAAAAAGTTGTAGAGAAATAATTATTTAAAAATTAACTTTACTAACCTTTAAAGAAATCAAAAAATAAAATTTGTATAAAAGGGTAGAAGAAATTTATTAAAAAAAGATTAGGACCAAATTTGTAAAAATATGCCAAAACTATAGAAAAAGATTTTAGTAAAGGTATATCACATTAATATTACAACATGCTCACTTTTGTGACCATAATATTCCACTTGTGCTCATTCTTAATAACATTTAGAACCATTATGAGATAATGACTTGAAAGGGTAACGAACTTTCAATTTTGTTCATATTTAGTCATTGACCTTTTTCCTATGTGATTTATCCCTGAATTATTTGAAATTGTTTACATTTTACCTGTCATAAGGATAAAATGTGAACAATTTCAAATAATTCAATGGTAAATCAAGCATAAAAAAGTTTAGTGACTAAATGTGAACAAAGATTATAATTCGTTCCCCTTTCAAATTATCATCCCTATAATTTATTCATCACCCCTAATTATTACCTTTAAATTTTTCTTTAAATAACTATAATAATAATTACCTAATAGTTTTACCTTTTTACGTATAATAATTAAATAACGTTGAAACATCTTTTTTTAAATATATAAATTATAATGTATTTAATATTTTTTTTTATATTTTTAAATTTAAATAATAAATATGTTAAAAATAGTTTTTTTTTAATCAATTTTTTTATTTTGAAATTTATTTAAACACATTATTTAACTTTAAATTTTATTATATTTGTTTTAATGATTTTAGAATTTATATTTTTATTTCTTTTGACGTTTTGCTTGAATAAATCGTTTTTTGATAGAAAATATATAAAGATTTAATATTATTCGTTTATGGATTCCGATTAGCCTATTTATACCACGAAACTCATTATGAATTAGCATATAATTGTTTTGAGTTAGTGTATTTATAACTCGTAAACGTTAAAAAATTAAAAATAAAATTAAATAACCGTTTCGAATTAGCCTATATATAACTTGAGACATGAATTGTTATCATCTACATAATTATAATGTTTTTTAAAAGGTGGCTTCGAACTTTTTTTGTAGTTGTTTAACATGACAATCATGATTCAAAACTAATTATTTTCCTAATACTCATTACAGTAATTAAATCTAGTTAACACAAGTTAATATATCAAGTTAATACATATTTTTAATAATTATAAAAATATTACATAAATATTGTATTCAAATGTTTTACATTTAAAAAAAGGTTCATTTATAACTCGAAAAACGAACAAAATGTCAAAAAAAAAATCATTAAATAATGCATTCGAACAAAAAATTAAGATAAAATAAACGTAAATTACATGAATCGTCCATGGTCCAAGTGTCAATTTGCACGTTCATTCCCTATTTTTGAAAATTAATTCGGACCTCCCCTCATACTTTTAATTCCTGCACGTTAAGTTCCTATCGACGTTAGCCATTTGTTTTATCCGTTTGGTGCCCCACGTGCCTAGCACACATGGGTATTTTTGTCATTTCAATTGTTGCCCTATTAGAGACTTTGCCCCTCTCCTTATTTTGTTCACCTCCCTCAATATTCTTCATTTCCATTCTTTCTTCCCCATTTTCTTCATCGTTTAGGTTTTTCTACCAAGAAATCAAAATGACCATTAGATGTAATTATGGAGGTGATGTTGTGATTCGTACTTCGTAGGGCAAGAACAACCCTGGAAAAATTTACTATGCTTGTTTAAACCCCGTTAATTTCGATTTCTTGATAAATCTTACCTAATCTCCAACTTTCTCCTATTTTCTCCAATTATTCCATTGTTAACTGTTTGAAATTTTGAACTTTGCAAGGTCGTGATTACAAGTTCATTGGTTGGGTGGTGGAGGAGCAGAAGTGTGCTTGTATGAACATTAGGATGAAGCTTGAACAACAAAATCTGAAATTGAAGTTATATCTAGCTATTAGTTGGTTTTTGTTTGTGCTAATTCTTGTGTACAAAGTGTAGGTTAAGTTATCGGGTATGTTTAGCATGTTAGTATGTATATGTTGGCTTTAAGCTGTACTGGATATCATTAGTTTGCAAGTTAATGAATTTGTAGTGTTATTTTTGGTATTTGGAAAAATAAGTAGTACTCATAACATTAGATCTTAAACAAAAAAATTCATTAATAACCAAATTAAACATTCATTCATACCATTACAAACATTCATCCAGTCAACTCTTTAAAAAAAAATCATCCAGTCAACATAGTTTGAAGTACATCACCAAAATAGTAAAAGAACTAGCACAAAAATTAGTTCAAACTGAAATTAAAGACCCAAATTTAAGAACATTATTTCAAGTACATCACAAAAAGTAGTCAACTAAAAGACATGACACTAGTACACACACTAAACCATGAGACTTTTTGTATTGTTCACACAACCTGCATTATGTCCCACACCACTACCCTTGACCTATGATCCTCCCACTGCTTTTTCCCCTTGCCCCTCCTATCAATATTTCCAACATTTCCACACTTTAAACATCTAACTGATTTGGTCCTTCTAGTCACTATAGCACCATTATCTTCTGTAGCAACTCTTCTTCTTTTCTTTTGTGGCCTATCCATAGGCACATAATGTTTTAGTGGTACTAACTTTGTTGTACAAGGACTTTTTGCCCACATCATCCTCCCATTAATTGGTTCAAAATTTTAAGGCAGACATCTCTTTCCACATCTTTAACTAGTATGTAGGGTGAACTAATGTTTCAGGTATCCCAACATTCTCATTATTCCTCATCATATTCCATATTACAACAATGGTGTGATTGCATGGCAAGCCAGTGATCTCCCACCTGTTACATAAACATGTATGTTGTCCTATGTCAACCACATATTGGTACACACTTTAAGCTATCACTTGATACTTTCCATTTCCACAAAATACAACCATGTACTCTACAACTTCATTTTTGATATTTTCAATAGTCTTGGTAGTTGTAGGAGTTAGTGGGCTACAACATTTGTCATTTGTCTTTTGGATAATAACAAGCTTCTTCATTATTTAACCTCTAGTAAATTCCAAGCATGTTATAATTGGTTTGTCATGACCCTTGACAAGTTTGCTATTCAATGGCTCACTTATGTTGTTT